TTCACATGTCTGAAAGATAATAGACATTACATCATTTCTATATGTGTGAATGTAACGCCCTCTAGTGACCAGATGCTTCTGTGACGTAATTTGGATTTGGATTTATAATCGTCCATAAATCAAGATTTTGCTTTATGTTTTACAAATAGACGGTGAACAATTACATAAACATAACACTTGATCCATCGATTTGATTGTTATTGCTTTCAATCATTTAGTCGCCACGAAAGCGCCAATGGCATCAAAATTGTATTTTACCAAAATGAAAAGTTAGTCCATAGACCCTCTATTAGAGGGTCTATGGTTAGTCTGGTAATCTCATTTATTAAATATATTTTTTTTTTATTTTGACAAATAGTCCGACCTGTAATCTGCCTCGACAAAATCTCATAAATTGCCTTATTGTAGGATTGTATCTTAGAAAGAGACTTTTTTTAAAAAAACACGTGGAAAAGTATTACCATCATGATGAAATGGTTCATATTGAGTACCCCTGCATATATAACATATTTCATTCATTTACAGCAACTTTCGCGAGCATGCATTTAACACTGTTCACAGGCGCATGCGTAAATGTTTTTATTCAGTGTGCTATCTCCAAAATGATGGTTTAATGTTTTGCCATGATCTTGCCATGATCATACGACTGAACACGTGACTGATGGTATGTGATAATTCTCTTAATTGAATTATTGTAATACATTATATTTGATGGGTTAAAGGCAGCGCGTGTTGGAATTTCCTGTAAACAATGTGTTTTACTAGGGTTTTTGTATGTACATCGAACACGACGCAGCGCGACGACCACTGCTAACCTTTGTAATAAAAGTATCGGGACTATGGAGTTAAACTGAAAATGCACATACATATTCCGATTTTTTTTTAGAAAGAGCAGATTATATGTCACAATTTAAAATAATTAAAGGAGATGGTCGTCGCGCTGCCTAAGTGCGGCATTTGTGTTGATGTACATTGATTTTCCCTCAATCCAGTGTCCTGGTAACTCACAGTCAAAGTCGCCATCTGTGTTCGTATGAGTCCCATATCACGCGCATGCGTGGCGAAACTCTACTACATCTATAAATATATTAATTTTAATGACAAGTTGATGAGTACAATAATGTTTGACTCCTGGCGTCAGTCGAACGACCCAGATATAGATCTGAAGTGTCATGATAATGTTTCGTATCGTATGTGACTAATCTCTCAAATGTCTTGCTTGGAGAAGTCTTTTATGAGTCCCGTGACCCGACTCCAGATGTCACGTGACCAAAGTGATATTATCACATTCGCATGTATTTCCCGACCAATATAAAATAATATTTAATTTGTTGTGAATACTCGTACGAGGGTGACAGCGATTTTACGACATCACACGGGAGTGTTAAAAGCCTTTCTGATTACGGGTGACCACACAGCGAGTTTCACTATCAGCACACAATATTTGAGATACGACACTTTGCTGACTTACCCCCTGCGCGTTTTGTTATGCGTTCAGTATCCTAATCACTGTGTTAAACCGAAAATGTGAAATAGTCAAGTAATCTATGATATATAATAAGCGGGAAATAAACTAAAGAAATCGTTGCGCGTTGATAAGCATTTTATAACGATAGAGGGCAAAATTTCACGTTGATACTGTCTGGACGTTCGTTGCGTAAATTCTCGACATTCTATCAAAATATGGTCGCACAAAAAAGATTTAAAAAATCTTGAAAATTAAGCCCACAGAAAAACATTATGTTTTATTTGTTAGTGTCTTGCGTGTCTCTAATTTTGAATCAACAAAGAAGTAAAAATAGCCGTATAAACTCTTGTATTAGTAAAAAAAACAGTCACGGTCACATATGAAAATTTACAATTATATCAAAAATACAACACGAACGACTGACAACAATAAAGAAAATTAAGGAAAGCTTAAAAATAACTCACGTGCATTTGAGATGTACATAATGAAAACAATGTGATCCACATTATTGAAGTATGTACTACTTAAAGATAATTCATTTGATTTTACATTTCATTTACATTTCAGGCACCTTTACTAT